GTTTTTTTCTCTTTCCCTCACTTATAACAAATTGAATTTTCTTTTACTTACTCCTACCTCAGATAATATTCTCTGAAGGAAAGTTTTATATATATATATATTCTTTACTTGTCGATTTTATTTCCTTTTTTTATAAATATTTTAATAAAATATCCAAAGATTTATTAGTTTTTTTGGGTAAAAATAACTCAATTTTATCGTTTTTAAGTGCTGGCAATGTGCAGAGTATTTCGTTGTTGAGTGAATTGGTCCCATCACTGAAGAGAAGATGCAAGATGCACTCTAAAAATAATTAAACAATTGCATTTATTCTTGTCAAAATTAGCCAAATTGGCAAATTTCTAATCCTTTATACGATCTTATAAATATTTACGATGCTTTACCCTAACAATTGCAGAATTCTTATAAAAAAATCGGGCATTTAATATTGCTTTACAGTACTGTACATTCTTACTAAAGTTAGAGACAGACGGCCGGGACATTCTTACAGCAATTAGCAAGTGTGGAGGCATTCCTACAACGATTAGCAATAGTAGGGATTTTCTTGTAACAATTAGCAACAGTAGAGACATTCCTACAATTAGCAACAATGGGAATTTTCTTGTAACAGTTAGCAACAATAGGGACTTTCCTACAACAATTAGCAACAGTAGGGACTTTCTTGTAACAATTAGCAAAGTGGAGACATTCCTACAACAATTAGCGACAATAAAGACGATCCTACAACACTTGGCAACGATAAAACATTCTCAGAACAATTAACAACATACTCTAACTGTTAAACCCTGTTTATTTAATAACTCCCGTACAAAATTAGCAAATAACTTCGCATAAAACCCTGTATAATCCGGAGCGATTCGAACATTTTCATCCAGTGACACAGCAATAAATATCGAATTTTTTCTGAAATGTTAAACTTAATAACGTATTTATTTATGAAGAAAAGCATGGAAATTCCTTAGAAACCAGCGTACAATCGAAGCTAATTCATTCGATTTTAGTTAATTTGCACAAGATTGTACAGTGTCAACATGGTGTGGCATCCCTTGGGTGATGAACAATCTAATGGATAGCAAAGAAACGTTAAGGGAATTCCCACAATAAAACCCAAGAGTAGTCGATGATTGCTTCTTTCTAACAATATCGATCCCTTCGTGTGTGCACTCTTTAAATCATCATCGTGATTACGTCTTAATTACTTAACTTCTCTAGCAATTATACACTTTTTAATTCGAATTTTCTACCAAAAAAACTCTCGATTTAATTTTCTCTCACGTGCTAATTTCTTGCTCTCTTCCGTATCTAATTAATTATTCATTTATTTTGTATCAAATTTGCTTGTTTGTGTATATTTTTTGCGCGCTGTACGAGCGAAAATATACAAATTTAACTGGCGTGTTGGAGAAATTTCAATTCTTTTCGACTTTTTTTGTGTGAAATTTTATGTTTAAAATATTTAAAATTATGTAAGTTAAATCTAAGACTGTGTCAAGTCGTATCGTCAACGTTTTATCAACGTTTATCTGACTTATAAAACTTCTTGAATGTACAGTACTTTACGTATAAGAAAATCCTCAGGTTTTATAGTAGATATTTAGAAATTTCAACGTTTTTTAATGACACGAAACATTCAAATTGTTATAATTATTTCATTTATTGAGAAATTTCTCCTCTAGAAGTAACCAGGAACCACGAAAAGATCAACGCATATAGCATGTAAAATCGTCAAAAGATACAAGAAATTAAGCAAAAATTTACTCAAAAAAAACTTAAAATTACAATTTAATCGTTACAATGCCGGTAATTTTTAATTATATTTAAAATTTATTTAATTTAAAATATATGNTCTAAAGATGAATTACATAATTTTACCTAAATTTCCTTTTAAACTTCTATATCTTTTGCCTTACACGAGCATAAATTAATTGAGATATAGGCGAAAAAAATACAAAAGAATTGAATTTTTTTAAAAAATGAACCAATTTATGTCCTTAAATTTATTTAATTTACCTCATTTTAATAATATTATAGCATTTTTAATTATTTTTGCGATAATTTTCGAGTTTTCGTCGCTTAAAACGTCAACTTTTCATGGCTTTTCCTAGTCTATCTTCTTCACTTTTAAGTAAAGAAAATGCAAAATTTATTATAATTAAAGTTACATTAGAAGAAGAGAAGATATTTTCTCTAAGAGAATCAAGAGAAGTTTATCATTTTGACATCATTATCATTTAGATATCAGATAACTTAAGCAGTACAACAACAGCAGGATTCCATCTTCATCTCGGTGGATTCTACCAAAATTAATCAATTGGTAAAACGATTCTACGCTTAAAATTTAGCATAAATCATTAGAAACAACATTAATTAACGTAAATTTAATAAATTTAAATAATAAATTTGATCATAAAATTAAAATTCTCCACGTTTCCTACGCTTAAATCAAGGAGGAAGATGCTTACATTTATAGCATCCTCAGTGAGCACGTCTCATCTTGATGCAACTTCCGCTTGGATAATTGATTAATAAAATAATTTTTATCCAAAAAACCGAATTTTTTAGATTGCCAATGAAAAAAATGAAACCCTTTTTTTATCTTATTAACACGATTTTTGGATCAACAAATCACTGATCCATGAAAAAATCTGTAACGAATTACACATCTCATGGGAGGAATTCAATTAAAGTAGTGAGAGGAAAGAGATCTTTATTGCTGAATGTCTGTTGAACAATTGCTTGTAATTGCATCGAGTTTGCTTGATATCGTTTCGGAACATCAAACATAATTGGTATCTTTCTGATGACGTCTATCTCGGCGGTGTTTTATTTCAAATTTGTGTGTGTTTCCGCGTGCTCTCTGCTGTCACCTTCCGGGAAATTGACGTAGAAAATTGATTTTTTAAAACTAATTTTGCATTTTCTTAGAGAAATTTTGCATTTTTTTAGATACCCGAGGCTTGATACCTTGCAAATTCTTCAAAAAATCTTTCAAAAAATACAATTTTTTTTAATTTTTTGGACCGCAAAGAACGTCGTTTTTGCCTTATTTAAACTCAGAAAAATTGGGTTTTATCATTAAATTATCTAAAAATCTTCTTTTTATATTATTATTTTAAAAAATTCAGTTTGTTTCTGGATTTTTTCAAAAAGTTAATTTTGAAAGGACGTATCTACGAGGTTTGAAGGCAAACAAGATATATGTTAAAATCCTGATGGTTCTATCCAATCTTTTTATACTTTTCTAGATAGAAAAATAGAATTTATACGTATATAAATCGAAAAAAATCTATTGATATTAAACAAATAATGTCAAATAAATCAATATTTACAACTTTAAATGATAATTTTTAAAGTATTATATATATTACTACATTTGTTTGCCAAGAAGGCTGGACATGTTCAATATGCATTAGCTAACATTGAACAATCGTATATACTGTATATATATATGGTCATTTACACTAATTACTGTAATTTTGAAAGTCAGACGTATCTTTAATGACTGTTTTCCAGACAACGAATGGCTCCTCTTGTAAATCTGTGGTTAATTAATGGTAATTTACTACTTTATGTTGTATAAACTAATGGAGGAATTGGTACAACCGAGCAAAGTATGAAAGGAAAAGAAAGGAAAAAAAAANTTTAGATTAAGTCTTTAATTCAAAACTCACTTTAATAAATTTACTAACAAAAATGTACTTCTCTATTACTGGAAACATATTAACATCTAATCAGAGAACCTCTTCAGCATCCAGTAAAATGTGGAAGATGAAACAAATCACAATGTTTTACTGGATGCTGAAGAGGTTCTGTGATTAGATAATGTAAATTTACTAGTACCTTTTTCATCCAATTCCAGTTGTTTATATTTAATTTAACTTTTGAATTATGCTGTATTTACTTTATTGTTAAAATTTGCAAAATTAATAGTTTTGCTGGCAGCAGGGCTGTGGAGTTAGAGTTGGGAACAATGTGTCAACTCTGACTCCAGCATTTTAAATTTAATTTAGTTTTTTTTTTATTTAAATGAAAGAAAATTTATTTTATATTTTGTTATAATTTATTTTAAGTACAAAATGCAACAATTTAATTTATTAAATATGTATCAATAGTTTTCTTTATAGTATTTGTGTTTAGTAGTTAAATTATTTTGACCCAATTGAGTTTGAATATTTTTAATTCAATCCTTTATTATCTCCACTTTAAATAAGTACTATATTTTTCTGAATGAGCCAGACTAATTGATCAAGTATATATTTTTCTTTTCTGAACAAGGGGCTCTTTAGTTGGACTAACTTTTCTGGAAGGGTGAAATTGAAGTGCAAATGCTGTAGAATAAAGATATGTAGATGTAAAATTTTATCACTCCCCTTTTTCCTCTTACAGTATTAAATATTCGTAAAAAATTAATTTCTTTATACAAATAAATATTAATGTAAGTTAAATATTAAAAATACTAACTATAAAAGTATTTGGGTAAATGCCTGGGTCTCCTTTCAGAGTATGTAAGGTAACCCCTATGAGCACCTCTGCCCTCATAAAATGAATTGGTTTTTAATTTTGCCGGAGTCGGGAGTTGGAGTCAGAGTCAGCCTACTAAAATTATCAGGAGTCGGAGTTGAGTGTTTTTTTACCGACTCCGCAGCCCTGGCTGGCAGTTCTTGACTATAACTAATTAATTAATTTGAAATTGATGTCATTCAGTCTATCATTTAGGTTGAAATGCATTTTTCATTATTTTTGGATAAAGAAATAGAAAACTACAGATTCTAACCTTATTGTGTGAATTTATATTTATTTTCAGAGACTCCAAATATTTCAAAATACAGTAATTTAGTTTAGTTCAGAATAATTTCAGATAATTTAATTACAGGAGATAATAAATTAGGCTATTTCTAAGAAATTGCAACATTCATTAGCCCCATTAACATTTTATATAAATAATTTAAATAATATGTTAAAATTTATTTTATGTTATATAACATTTTAATTCTTTTGAATAGGGTTTCAACTCACCACGGGAATTCATTGTAACTCAGGGACCATTACATAGCACACGAGATGACTTTTGGAGAATGGTGTGGGAACAGAACTGCCGTGCCATCGTCATGCTGACTAGATGTGTTGAGAAAGGAAGAGAAAAGTGTGATCACTACTGGCCATTTGATATGCAGTCTGTATATTATGGAGATATCCAAGTTACCATTTTAACAGAATCTCAATATGCTCATTGGACTATTTCAGAATTTAAAGTTTGCAGGGTATTGCATTATATCAAACAAAATATATTTAAAAATTGAATGTAAATAATTTAAAATATTTTTTTTCTAAAGGGTGAACAATCTAGAATAGTTAGACATTTCCATTTCACAACATGGCCAGATTTTGGAGTACCAGATCCCCCTCAAACGCTGGTAAAATTTGTCAGGGCATTTCGAGATAGAGTTTTATTTGATAGCAAACCTGTTATTGTTCATTGCAGGTAAGTAAATAGGAAAGTAAATGATACATGCAGCCATAACATTGTAAATGCCATTTTTCTCTAAATACTATGACAATAGTGATGCTGTAAGTGGCTATATTTTGAAGTTTAATTTATGTGAAGTCATAACATTTAAAGTGTCAGATCACGTGACTTTTGGTATCGAAAATGTTATGGCTTATATTTGCATCATTTTGATATTCCAGAGAATTTGTAACCTAGTGAGATTTTTACCATTTTATTGTAAAATTGAAATGAATTCATTTGCTAGAAAGTTTTTTTATCTCTCCTGAAAAGTTTGCTTTTTGGCATTTACAACATTATGGCATTGCATGCTTCAAACATTAAAAAAAAAAACTTTAACAGAAAGCTTTTTTATCATCTATGGATATAGGTGGTTCTTCGCCTTATATATTAGATAGAATTTTAATGATCTTAACGATAATTGGCTAGAAATATGACACTCTTAATGATGATTGGTTAGAGGTGAAACTGTTTTAACGACGATTAATTTAAATTATTATAATTTAATCCGGTGATTGGTTGCAAATTCTGCATTCTTAAAGATTATTGGTTGGATACATAACATTCTTAACGACGATTGGTTAATTGAATAATTATCCGAACTAGTATTTTATCTCGATCAAAAGTAGAACTCCGCCTTCTTTTAAAATTTTAATTAATTATTGAAAAGATAATTTTAAACTTTTAAAAATTTATAAATTTATTTTTCTAAAAATAATTTATTAAATTCTATATAATTTAATTTATTAATACTGAATAGCCCACCAGTTGCCGAGCGGTTCCTTCGCTAAACACTGAGAGTTCGGTCGAAGGTTCGCGCGCGCTGGCAATGTGGATTTTCCGGGTTTTCTCCACGTCCGTAACGCCTAAATAGGGGCCAGTTACCCTTAAAAAGACCTCCCGGAAGGCATTCCCCCGCGTAACATCGCGTTTCCAGAGAAGGCAACGAAAAACCCACTTTTTGGTTGAAAAGAGAAAGAATAATAAGGAATAATAAAATTGAAAGTTATTATCAACATAGGTGGTTCTCTGAGAACATTTGAGAGATAATTCCTTGAAAATATCATTTAGTTTTCACTAATTGGTTGGAAATTTATAAAGTGGTGGAGTTATGTTTCTAATTACACGTTTCAATCGACGTCATGACAATTATGCAATTAACTAATTGTTGTTAAGATAGTTATATCGTCCAACCAATTGCTACAAAGACTATTCCGTCCTTTAATTAATTGTCGTGAAAACAATTAAACTTGTAACCAATCATCTTTAAGACTGTAATAATTCAAATTAATCGTCGTTAGCACAATTATATTTCCAACCAATTGCTGTTATGTATTTGAAACTGGCAACCAATCATTGTTAAGATTATAATACCTGTATTGTAAAATAATTGATGTTAGAAAAGTTAAGCCCTCCAAAATTAATTGTTAAAACATTTATATTTTCAACCAATCATCATTAAAAAGTAAGACGAAGACAATTTTAAAGTATGTAGACATAATTTATGTTACGCATCTGTCCGTCACGTTATATCCTAACAGAACTTTGTACAGTATTTTTTATGTTTGAAACATATTTTTGCATTATTAAGTTATTTCAAAACAAAATGGAGGAAGTTTAAAGGGCACAAAGCGTGTCGAAGTTGCGTGTGAAACTAATTAAAACAGCAGAAATTATGTTTCCAGCGAAATTATCCTTGTAAAATTCGCTCGAAACGTAATTTTCTCCGAATATCTATAAAGAAAATATTCAAATTATTTGTTGAATTTTATTTAATTTATCAATTCTTATGTAAAAATTTGTCAAAAGTAGTCAATATGAAAAATTTCTTTGGAATATTTCTTTTTATATGTAATTTAAATGTTAAATAGGCTATATGTATTTAAAATGCAAAATTAATTTACAAAATTCATGTAAAGGTGGTCCTCTGATAAATTTGTAAGATATATATATAAAAATACATTACGAAATGCTAAAGTCGATTGGTTGAAGAAAAAAAAAAAGGCAGAGTTAAGATTTTTTCAACAACGATTGATTGGATAAATGGAAAAAAGGAGGAAATCATTTAACTTCGTTCCTGACCAGTCATCTTCTATCAACAATATTATCAACCAATCATCGTCGAATCTTCTAAACTTTTTTGTACTTTTTCTCAAAAATTTCGCAGAGTACCGCCAATGTTCATGAACTTAATTTTTATATTTTTAAATGTTTTTGATACTGTTTAATACATATTTTCGTTTATAGATGATCTATAAATTACAAATTAAGGTTTTTTATCAATAATTAACCGTAAAATATCCGTAAAATATTATTCAAGCGGAAGAGGAGAAGGAACGTGTCTCTTTACGTCAACCATCCTGTGGTCGATTGTAACTCTAAACTCAGCTTTATTAGAAGTAAATAAAGAGGAGGAGGAGGATTCGGTAGTGAAATTTTCCTTTTCATCAACCCCGTTTCATTATTACTATATCAATTGAAAGTTTGTGGAAAAGTGTTAAGTACGAATGAATCACTTTACTAATCAAGTCACGTAAGTTCGTCAAAGCTGTTTAACGAACAGTTTGAATTAATCAGGACGAAATGACAATTACTGTACATCCGGAAGAGCCTTAGGGTGCCTTTTACATTCTCTTATTTCGCTAATACTCTAAGGAACTAAAGTGATGCACGGATGGAGCAACATCACTTCTCCTCTGATAAACTGAATAATAATCTTAACACAAGTTTATTGCATTTCGGATAAGAAAACTTAAACTTTGAAGATTTCAAACTAGATAAATGTACCGGTTGATTTGACTATTATTTATTTAATTATGCTCTGTTTCTTTTGAAAACTTGTAAAGAAGTTAAAGAATTTCGAAAATTAGTACAAATTAGACAGGAAAGAAGTAGAGGAGAAGAAGGATAAAAAGGAAGTTGATTTCTAGATGTTAATTGATAAATATCTCTACAGTCACAGCGTAATTCTCTTCAGCATCTTTATACCGTAACTCTCAAGTGTCTCAACCAATTTAATTTTTAGCTATCTCTTCATCACGTGAAATTCGCAATATAATTTTCTTTAGCATCTGTGCAATTTTCTATAAGTGCTGAAGAAAATTGCATTCAATTTTCTACGATAAAACAATTTACTACAACATTTCTACAACTCCTCGCACTTCTCAAAGACTGTAATTTACCTTAGAACTTTAACATCTCTAAATCTCTCTAAGCTCTCAACATAATTTTCTCCAAAATCTCAGTATTTCTACATCTCACTAAGCTCTCAATGTAATTTTCTTCAATACTCCCAGCATCTCTACATCTCACTCAGTGTAATTTTCTCCAACATCTGTACATCTCACTAAGCTCTCAACGTAATTTTCTTCGTCATCGCTACAGCTCAATGAATTCTTAATGTAATTTTGTTTTAACTTTCTGCGGCTCTACAAGACTATAATTCTCTTCAGCATCTTTAGCATCTCTACAGCTCTCAGGTAAAGAAAAAAACATTAGATCTTTTATTCTCTTTTAATTCTCGTTATTGCATTGTTTTGAAATAAATGAATTGATTAAAATTTATTTAATTTAAAATATATGCTCTCGATTTTATTAGTGTCTTGCCCCTGTAAATCACATTTTTCCTGATAACAACAAAGTAGTGCAAGGCATCTACTCAAGTCTCTTCTGAGGGAAATTTTTTGAATTGAAATCACATGACTTCCAGTTTGGACCGGAAGTTCGTATATAGTTAATTGAGGCCTCCTACCCCTAAGCTTTTCATATCCTGATTAAGGAAAGACAGATAAACAGTGGGAATTTATAAGTCTACATTTTTTTTTTTAAATTGTGGTCCAAAACGTTGACTTTTTTAGAACTTAATTAAGCAAATTATTTATTAAAAACGTTGAATTTTAACGTTTTTTTTTATTATATTTCGTTGATATTTTTGGATAAATTCCAAGTTCTAACTCGTTGAAATGGTCATAGAATATTAAGAAAATGGTGAAAGAATTGATTGATCGTAGTGGAACGGGGGTAAGAGGGGTCGATTTTAGTCAAAAACTTGAGAGATTTCTTTGTGTAGTTTGTGTATTTTTACGATCGAGTTTGTCGACAAGCGTGCAGCAATAAAAAGAAAACAGCAAAATATAATTGCTTTTCCCTCAGGCACTGATTTAAGAGACATAAATATTGCTTAACGATGTCTTGCTTCTAAGAAAACAATGCCCCTACTTTACTGCGGAAATTACTTGATTTATGACGCCATTGATGATAAAAATTGTTAATTTTTTTCTCCCCCTAAATTTTTTCTTCTATCCTTAGCTTGTAAGATGCTGTAAACGTTGATGATAATTTCATTTAAGGATGCTTAAAGTTTTAAGGGATGCTGGTGAGAAAATTTGGAGTGTAAGAGGAACTAAAACTCGATTTAATCCGATAGGAAAGGTTTGAAAATTGACGTTTCTCTTGTACCTGAGAGTGCTGAAAAGAAACGTTAACAATAAGATTTAATTAGTGCTTGAAATTGGCGAAAAAAACGTTCGAAAAAGAGAGTAAAGTTCTTCGTTGAAACTGCTTAGTAAGTGTCAAAATGTAAGTAAAATGACCAGGAAAATGTTGAACAATTTTACTTTATTTATTTTTAGATTCAACTTTATCTGAAATGAATAGAAAATAACAGAAATTGAAGTTTCTTCAGGACAATAAAGAACCCTTTTTAAGTGTCCACCACAACTAAAAATCACACGCATTATTCAAAGCTCCAAAAGTGCCACAGTGGTGATTATTGGTACTAATATTTTTTCTCACGAAAGTCTTCCGCGTGTCCCGAAATGTCACCCTAACATTTGAACTGCTCTAGACAGCGTTAAATGGAAGTACTTTAATTACGATCATACGATATTTGCACAGAAGTGTTCGAAGCTGCAGAATCAATGGGAAAATTAAACCAATAGGAAGACTCTTTGCAAAAACTATTAAAAGGATGTACGGCGTATCCCGTGATTCAATTTTGTGATGGTAGAAAAAGACAATTCATTGGTTATCAACGGCATTAAAATTGGAAGCTCTAGTGATATCTGAAAGCAGCTAACATCCGAAAAGTCTAAAGAATAGTAGTAAAATCGTGATTCTAGAATAATAAATGAACGAGTGTGATGATGACGTAATGATGACAGAGTGA